GTAGCACCTTCCGTAAGACGAATGGTGGTCGAAATTGGTACGGGTCATGAATGATTTCCGTGCGAGGAATACAGTGTTCTCACATGCTGCAAGAAGTTTGCGATTGCCCCAGTTGGAGAAATAAGCTTTAGCACCCCAGCTCCTGTGTCAGTAAAGAGAACTTCCTTCGGCACATATTCATGTCAGTTGAACAAACGATGCAGTTTTTTGACAGCCATCACAGGGTGTTTCTTTTCCAGAACCAATCACATACTCTGCGTTGACACCACCTGTGAGTCTTCCTACCTTGCGGGCATTGACGTCGCTGAAGTACACGTCACCTGCATCAAGAACTGTTAAGCTGTATACTCTGCTGCAGGTCGCTGTTGTTACTCACTTGCTTAGCGTATGTTGGCTCCTCATTTCCCAAAGCAGTGTCAATAATGTAGATTCCTCGATCTTCCTGAGAGTCGACCACGAAGAGATTATGGGATTCTTTGCTGAAAACCAGTCCTGTACAACACGCCTTTCTGGCATTGTGATAAATGGCTTGACGTCTCCCTTTAGCTTTGCGCCAGTGAAAGTGAGAGTTACTTTCAAAAATTATGCTCTGAAACATAAATCACGTCATGGTCATCAACGGCAGCTAAAGCCAGAGGGCTGATTTCATCAATAAGGATTTTTAACCCATTTTCTCTCCAGGTGTCAGGAGAGTTGTCTTCGATCCACTCTGAGAGAAACTGCCTCATTTGTGCTACAGTGGCTCTTTCGCCTGGCTGCAAAAGATGACAATTGAGAACCTCTTTATCAAGACGTGTTTTTTTCATTGCTTTCAGATTGAGTGTAACAACGTTACGGACATCTAGGTATGATAAACAACTCTTTTCCGCGACAAAAGCAACACCAGATTTATAAATCACACACGTTGGACTGGAAAGGTCTGTGGCCACATTTTGTACCTCAGCTGGGTTGTGAAGCTTTACCTTCAAAAGGATACCAAGCGTATAATCTGTGGTGTACAGAGCGCCAAAGTTTCCAGCACAGACTTATAGTGGGTGTTCAAGCACGCCTGGTTTGTTTAGACCGTACTCTTTCCAAAATATCTCGGGAACAAGCATGTGGACCAAAAATTCCATACTTTGTATGATTCTCTGCACAGGCTCTGCATTACACTCGGCAATAAAGCTTGTATCCATCCTGTCTCTTCCTCTTAAAGTAATATTAGTTACAGCAGATTTAAGCTCTTCAGTAAAGGACAAATACAGCCGTGCAGTGCGCAGCATCACAAGAGAAAAGCGGGTATTGTCAATAAATAGAAACCAGTTACTGTGTGACCTATGTATATTTTTTCCTGCATGTACAATGTCCGGCTTTGGAGCGGTCAATGTGCTGTAAGAATCAGAAAGCCCTTCTCTTTGATCTGTCTGCAGAAGCTCTAGAGCAGTTTTCAATTTAGATTGGCAGTCAGTGGTGATGTTAAAGCAAACAGCTCTTTGGCATGGGAGTTCCTTTTCTAAACATCTATCACACCGTCTCAAGGCTGGGCACCAGTGCATGAAACCGTCACTTTTACAGGCTTCACAGACCGCTTTACTGGAAAGACAATAGCCACATTCGGTTGTGTGGCACACTTCTTTGACCGTTAAACCTTCACTTCCCTGAGCCTTTGCACATGGCACTGCAGAGTTGAGCGTCCATCCCCTTCTGAACCAACAAAATCGTTTCCAACAATTAATGATGTTTTGTTATCGAGAGTTGTGATGCCCATTATTTCAACCTCGGTTACAAATTTCTCTGCAAAATGGGGAATGTTTTGGTTTTCTTGTACATAATCTAAATTGTACAACTCTTGACCTCCAACAACTAACATAGCGTGTTGATCCACTTCGAAGCTTGGTTTTAGGGTGAAACCATCCTTAGCCAAGGACACCGGTATAACCTTAAGTATGTCGCTGTCAACAAGTGATTTGACGTCGTTTCTTTTACTGAAAGCAATTCTAAGGAAGGCTATTAAGTATGCCTGGATTAATCCACTTTGGTAAACGTACCCTTCTTTTCTGCTTGACGGTAAAGGTAATGGGATATTGTTATCCTCCCAGCGAAACTCGTGAGTTGACCCTCTTCCTCTTTTAAACATCCGTTTACCCATAAGCAGGTTAAATGTTCTTGAGTGTCCCCTTCGCTTAATGGTTTCGCAAAAGCTTCGAATAACTGGATCGTGATGAAATTGATTGGTGGCGTCCCTAATTTTGGTCGCAAATTTGAGTGAATTCACCACTAAGCGATAAAACAGGTGGGTTTGAGGTAAACGGCCTGAATGAACTTCTTGAGCAAGGAGTTTAGCTGCTGGATCAAGCTCAAATTCGTATCCACTACTTGATACAGAGACTGTCTCGTCTGCAGAATTGGTACTAAGTTCACTCAGGTTGTTGTTCAAATCGTCATTGTCAGATTCTTCCAAACTGGTATAGCAAGAAATATATAATGTGTGGTTCCAGAAAATATCCATACCCCCCCCACG